AGTGTCTCCCTGTAGTCTCACTGCTGCATCTCTGAATGTCTCATTTCACTTTAACAAACTCTCACACAGTAATATCCACCTGATGACATCACACATTGACCTGATGACATCACACATTGACCTTATGACATCACACATTGACCTTATGACATCACACATTGACCTTATGACATCACACATTGACATCACACATTGACCTTATGACATCACGCATTGACCTTATGACATCACACATTGACCTTATGACATCACACATTGACATCACACATTGACCTTATGACATCACACATTGACATCACACATTGACCTTATGACATCACGCATTGACTTTATGACATCACACATTGACCTTATGACATCACACATTGACTTATAACGTCACACATTGACCTTATGACATCACACATTGACTTTATGACATCACACATTGACCTTATGACATCACACATTGACCTTATGACATCACACATTGACCTTATGACATCACACATTGACCTTTACCACTTCCTGTTTCTGTGCTTAACTTCATGTCCTAACCTTCCAGCTACAGGAAGGGCTTACTGTATTTCAAAATAAAAGCACACAGCAAGTAAAGTACTCTCAGTTTAAGACAGGACAAAACATTCAAAATAAAAGCCCCCCCAAAAAACCTGTGAGATTATGGAATTTCAAACATGTAATTAAAAAATATATTTGTATTTTGTTAAATGTAACTTGATCTTATCAGAGCCATTCATGAACGTGCGTATGTCCCGTCTGTGTGCCTCCTCAGGCCTGTGGTGCGTTCACTGAAAGAGACGGGGAAAGTGAAACCAGAGCTCTTCGAGGAGGTGACCATTTACTTCAGCGACATTGTGGGTTTCACCACACTCTGTCACTACAGCACGCCCATTGAGGTGGTGAACATGCTCAACCACATCTACAAGCACTTTGACAGCATCCTCGACCACCATGACGTCTACAAGGTAGATAGACTTGAGCTTATATAACCCCCCCCACCCCCGTAAGAAAAAAAGCTAAACGTACACCACAAAGTCATATATCAGGGTAATACTTTGGAACTAATCAAATGCACACAAATGTAAAAAACAACAGACTGCAATCCAAATCAAAGTCATCACAAAACAATCTGTAACAAAACAGCTACCTGCTAGCATGAGCTAAAGTTAGCCTGAGGCACACATGTTCAGACAGCAGCTGACTTCATGCAGCTCGTTCAGACAGTCCTCCTGATATCCCCTCTGTTAGCTCTCTCTTTGTTAGCTCCATGAAGCTAAAACATTTTCTGCTATAAACTCTCACCATGAAGATCCATTTTACAACCAATTAAATAACATCTCAAATGTACAGCTTCCTGCTCGCCCCGTGGTCTGACCTTGTGTTTGACCTTGTGTCTGACCTTGTGTTTGACCTTGTGTCTGACCTTGTGTCTGACCTTGTGTCTGACCTTGTGTTTGACCTTGTGTTTGACCTTGTGTTTGACCTTGTGTTTGACCTTGTGTTTGACCTTGTAATCAGAAGCATGTTTCTGATGTTTGTCTGCCAGTGTTAGCTTCTGTTTCTGTCCCAGAGAAGCTAATGGCTTCTGCTAGCTGGTGGAGCAGGAAGGGAGAGGTGAGGGAGGGAGGGGGCGGGGCCCATGTATATGGGCGGGGCACTTCAGAACAAAGGGAGGTGTGGCCAATGAGAAGTTTTGTTGGAGACTGGTGCTGAAGTGTGACATCTGCTGGACATGAGATTATAGAATAACATTAATGAATAACAACATTTAAACTGTATTAGATTTATTTTTTATATCTACTAACATGAAACATTCACTGATGTATTTGAATATTTCATTCATAATCACTTTATATTAAATGTAAGATATGTTTTGAAAAATGGAGAGAGGTTAGAACACAGAAAGGTTTACAGACCCATGCAGAGCTGGATAAACACTGAAGCTTCAGAGTCCACCACATGGTGACCTGAGTGAGCATCCACTCTAGAGAGGGGGGGGGGGGACAGCTCTCTATGATGTTTAGAATTTAGACTGCAGTACCCACTTTAACCACTAGGGGTCAGAGTTAGCTATGGATTCTCTTAATAATAATTTAAAAAACATCTTTATGAATTCCTCTCAGGTGGAGACGATCGGTGATGCGTACATGGTTGCGTCCGGTTTACCTAAACGTAACGGTGACAGTCACGCCGTGGACATCGCCCACATGGCTCTGGACATCCTGGCTTTTGTGGGGACTTTTGAACTGCAGCACCTGCCAGGTATCCCTCTGTGGATCCGGATCGGCGTGCATTCAGGTACATGAACTTCAGTCGGCTATCAGTGTGATTTATTTAAAACACAGAGCATTGCATTCATAAATAAACAGAATCATTAAGATGTCTTTATTTGTGTGCTGTAGGTCCGTGTGCAGCAGGAGTTGTGGGGAACAAGATGCCTCGTTACTGTCTGTTTGGAGACACGGTCAACACAGCATCACGCATGGAGTCCACAGGCCTGCGTAAGCGACAACACACACACACACCATCATCATCAACATCTGGTATGGGAAAGTGTTTGAAAATGTAGACTACCTCACACACGTCTCCTTCTCCTTTCCCAGCTCTGAGGATTCACGTCAGTGGGTCGACCATCAGCATCCTGCAGAGGACAGACGGAAAGTTTGAGTATGAAAAAAGAGGAGAGACGTACCTGAAGGTTAGTTCTTTCTGCTACCCTAACCCTAACTACATCAAATCTAAACCTTACAATTTTTAATGTGTGTGTGTGTGTGTGTGTGTGTGTGTGTGTGTCGCTCCCACAGGGCAAAGGCAAAGAGATAACGTACTGGTTAACAGGAGTGACAGGAGGGAATTACAACCTGCCGACACCACCGACAGCGTGAGTGAAACCCGGTCTGAACACTCTGCTCATGTCCTCTCCGATCCAGCTTTATTTAAAGCGCTCATTTTAAAAACAGCAGTTTTTACTAAAGGGCTTTACAGTCCACAAAACAGCGGTCGCTCATCAATAACAAATAATGATGATGAGAAAAAGAGTAAAAAATCATATAAAGCAGATAAAGAATTAATGACAAAAGGAACGAGAATACATCGGTCGCATTCAGAGTTAAAACCAAGGTGTAAAAATTAGGACAAGAGTTAAGAACCGGCAGTGTGGGGGCTCGTTAAAAGACGGGCATCAGTGTTTGGACCAACTGAAGTGGAGAAAGGGACGCCTGACTTTGGGAGTCATCTGCGTAAAAGTGGAATGAGAGGTCGGCCATGTTTTTCACAAATCAATCCCATGGGAAGTAGGTAGAGGGAAAAGAGCATCGGGCCAAGGATTGAACCCTGGGGTACTCCACATGGGATGGGAGAGTTGTGGAGGAGTCGCTGAGGCTTACAGTGAAACTATTTGTGACTATTATTTGTAGGACATTCCTTTGATGCCCACACAGGGAGAACAAGACAAGAAACGAGAGCAAGTATCGAACATTTTCACGACCTTACTGTATAAACAAACTTCTAGTATGAGTATTCTTACAAACAACAATGCAGAAAGTCATATTCATGTGCATATAACCCATCCTTCTGTATGAGACCCACTCGACTCATGTTTTCATAAAGCTCCACATGACCTCCTGCAGCATTCATGTCTATAATCTGAAATGTTCCCCGCGTCTCGTCTCAGGGAGAACTTCCAGCAGCTGCAGCAGAATCTGGCCGAGATGATCGTTTCCAGTCTGGAGCAGCGAGGAGAAGGGAGTGAGCGCTTCAAAAAGACCCTGTCCACGAGAGTCAGTCAGAGGGAGACCAACAGCGGCCTGCAGGGCGGCGACAGCCCCCCCGACTACTTCCACCTGGCTGTCACAGATAACCCCAGCACCTACCTGTGATCACAGCGGCGCTCTGAAAAGGAGTAGACGATGTAGGCGTGGCTCTGTTCTGTCCAATCAGAGCTGCTGGTCTGTGTGGACAGGTCACTTAATTCAGCGTCCTGTGACATCAGAGCAGCAGGGGGACGGCTGCTGCAGCGCCACCCGTCTCTCTCTGCATCAGGACGTGAACATCAGACTGAACCACCCACAGACATGAAATATAAAATATGTGGTATAAATAAGCTCCTTCTCTTTTTTTCTTGTTGGACTGAAACGTTTTCACTGCGGCTGTTTTCTACGTGATGAACTGAGCTTTTTTATAACAAACATGAGAAATGACCACATTCAAAAAGCCACCACCTGGGGGCGCCAGAGTCAAATAAATCTACATTCCTGAAGTAAATAGATGGAAATTATTTAGATTTAACCATGTTTTGGCCTTTCAGATAATATTTTTCCATGTCATTAAATCATTTGTGTGAAGTGATGTTTTTTGCATTCAGTCAAATGTTTTTGCAGTTGACCTTCAGGGCCACTGTAGATTTACATCTTTAATTAGTTCTTAATTCTTTTACATCCAAACTGTATTCAGCAAACTCCTGCAAACTATCTAAAGTGCACAAATACTAAAATGTTGTCTCTCTCTGTCTCTGCCGCTTTTAGTTAAAAGTCTTTTTCCCTGTGGACAATAATAACTCACACACCGAGTGTACTCTCTCACCTTTGAAGAGGTCTCTGTTTTTATTTAAATCTTTCACACAGGAAGCTCGTCATTAAGAAACCTATTTATCGTGTAAATAGCTCCTTTCTGTTCTGCTGCAGAGACGGTGAGTCGTCATCCTGACAGGAGAACATTTGAGGTTTCTTTTTTTTTTTTAAGTTTTATTTTTGGGCTTCTCATGCCTTTAGTGGAGAGATAGGACAGTGGATAGAGTCGGAAATCAGGGAGAGAGAGAGAGTGGGGAATGACATGCAGGAAATGAGCCACAGGTGGGATGTGAGCCCGGGCTGCCTGCTTGAGACTACAGCCTCCATACATGGGGAGCACGCTCTAACCACTGCGCCACCAGCGCCCCACATGTGAGGTTTCTGTGATGATTTGATGTTTCAATAAAAAAAAGTTTGAAATAAAGAATCAGGTTCAGAGCAGTTTAAACTTTTAATAACACTTCACAGTAAAGAACAGGAAACTGAACACACTAGGAGACTCCACATCTCTGCTCCTTTGAAAAACAGTGCAGCGACCTCTTAAAAAAGACGGCTGCAAAAAAACAATTCAAATATGATCTAAAATGTTCAGAAGTCTGAAGTGAACATGCATCCATGTTTTATTTTCACGCCTTCTCGAGTAAACTAAGACTGGCTACATGAGGTATGTCAAAACTGATTATGTGTCCAAACAATCCTCCAGTGTGTGGAGTCACCACAATGACTCTACCGCTCCTGATCCAGGCGCAGTCTCTCACACGAGTCAACTTCCTGATACATGTCTGTGTTTAACATCTGAGAGGAAACGAGCTTGTTCTCTAAACAGAGTTCAAGAAAACAAACGGATAAAAGTCCGCTTCAGAACTTCTGTGAAAACCATCAAAATATGGTGGAGAATAAAGAGATCCAAAATGTGAATCAAAATGAGAAAAACTAACCACGAAGTGTAGAGTGCATGCAGTGAAGACACACACACACACACACACACACACACACACACACACACACATCTACACAGTTTTGGTGGTGACTAACACCGTCCCACCCAGCTCCGTGGCAGGGAGGGGGACTCTGTGCTCCAGTCCTCTCTCCACCCGCGTCCCAGCATGCATTGGGGGGCACCGACAGGTGGTGAAGTCCTCCTCCCACTCCCATCCTGTTTGGGCGCCCGGGTGCAGGTGAGCGCTGCAGGGCGGCTGCGAGGGGAGAACCACCGGCTCACGCTGCTTCTCAGAGTCGTCTGAAAGATGAGGGGGAAACCAACTACGTTACCACGGCAACAGAAGGTTAAGAGTTTGTTTTGCAGGTCCCGTGCGTGGACATTTCTACATCACAGAGTTCAGATATTTAAGACGGATCAGGGAGTTCACAGAAATAAAGGAGGGGCGCCCGTCAACATCACGGTACCCCCTGAGGACCCGGTCTGCCACTCCATGTGGGACGTGGTTTAGGAATGGTCCATAAAGGATCAAAACCTGTCTCATTTCAGTTTCATATTTAGGGCCCATTGGAGTCGTCCTCACTCTTCTCCCCGACGTGGCGCCCTGTTCACGACACACATTAATGTAAACACTGAACAGCAGCGTCCTCACACAGACGATACAAACCCGTAACGGCGTGGAGTCAAAGATGCTTTTACTGAATCACAATAGATCACATGTGAAACAATGAGGTGTCTCACTTCAGCTAAGTGAAAAGAGCTGATACCCTAATCTAGTTTCAGACGTTCTCGTTGTCCTGAGGAGGAGAACGCTCCATTCACAGAATCACGCGGTGGAGACGGACGCACGCGCTCTCTCACCGGGTTTAAGACGCACATGAGCTGCATGCAAGACGATTGAAACCTCGGTCAGGAGGATCACGCAGACATTGTTTTATGTAAAGAATCCAAACTTAAGCCGAGCAGCGTGATGTGCTTTCATCGACATTAAAGATATTAGAGTGTTTAAGAGATCACTGACTGTTTAATCCTCTGGTTTTAACCATTTGTCCACCAAATACACTCGTGCTGTTCACCACTATAAGAGACCGTTTAAGAGTGTGTGTGTGTTCTGAATCTGCAGATGTGTGTGTGTGAACCAGAATAACTGTTAGAGAGCTGCATGCCGACCCTGGGGACGCCCGCCAAGAAGAGAACAGAAACTGTGCAGTTTCTACCGTGGTGTTCATGAGCGTCACACTTCATCACCTGCACGCCTGCAGACGCACGCTGCGACATGTTTTCACATCACGAAGAACGATTTCTGAACGAGGGGCCGTCACCACACCAGAATGTGAAACTTTGATATGATTCTAGTTTAAATCAAACGATGTTGATTCCTGTTTAATACCAAGGCTCCTCCCTCTTTTACAAACGTTGTCCGTGTAGTTTGGATTTGTTTGGACCAGAGAAGGTAGACGGTTTTAAGGCGACCCCCCCCACACGGCCATTTTGGACGCCCCTCGGTTTGCCAGATATGAGAGCAGTTATCAGGTCAACAGGTGAAGTGGTTCAGATAGAAGTGATTGTACCCGACCTAAAAAGCCTCTGCATGTTTCTAATAAGCTCCACGAGCAGAAACGTGCTCAAACTAGGATCAATATTGGAGATGCTTTTGAAAAATGGAGAGAGGTTAGAACACAGAAAGGTTTACAGACCCATGCAGAGCTGGATAAACACTGAAGCTTCAGAGTCCACCACATGGTGACCTGAGTGAACATCCACTCTAGAGAGGAGGGGGGAGACAGCTCTCTATAATGTTTAGAAACTGGACTGCAGTACCCATTTTAAACACTAGGTGTCAGAGTTACAGACTGCTCCTTTAAATGTTTGTTTTTAAAGCTTCTGAACGTTTTGATTCTTCCTCCGTTTAAATAACAGAGAGTGCATCGTATTAAAACATCTGGTACTCTGAACAAAGTGTCATGAGCGAGGAAGATGAAGTTCAGGTCAGGATTTGTTTTTGTTCAATGACTCACCTGCTGAAACCCGAACGTATCTGACACATGATACCGACTATTATAACTCAAACTAGCAGCAGCTGCTTCTAGAACAACAGGTGGAAGTTTCACATTAAGAATGAATCTCAGTAACAGCCTTAAAAAAAAAAGCTGTCAGCTGCTGAGGATTCTGGGATACGTTGTTCTTTGTGTGAGGATTTATTTCATACAGATTATAAATGATCCTCTTACCCGGGGTTCTGCTCGTCCTGGTGTGTTTTCTGTAAATGAAGAACAGAGTCGCGATCAGGATGGTCACCACCGTCCCCAGACCCACACAGATCCACAGAGCCGGACTCAGGAACATCATGGAGGATAACTGAGGGGCAGGAGACGTGGATTTCACCTGGACCACGGGAGGCAGGGGCGGCTCTGAGAGGAAAATACTGATTATATACCTCAACACAAAAACACAGATCACATGTTCAACAGTCAGAGCGACATTCAGTCAAACACATCTAAAGAGTCAGCTCTGATTCAGAGGAGGTATCAAGGTGTCAATGTGGAGCCCTGCGTAGGGTTTAAATGTATCTCTGTAGATATTCAAGTCAACACACAAAAAGCAGAGACAGAGCTTTGTCAAAGCCACACAGAGACGTTCAGAGACTCACCTGTGGGCCACTCGGTAGGTTTAGGTCTGTTTATGGTCCTGCTGGAGATGCAGTGTTTGACGAGGAGGTCCCACTTTTCACCCACTGGACAGTCCTTCTTGGCCATGTCTGAAAAGTGGCTGCTGAGCCACGCTCCTCCGATGTTAATGACACAAACCCTGAAAAAAACCCTCTGAGGACAGAGAGCGGTGAGACCCGGAGGATGAGATGCAAAAGGGAGGATTTGTGAAATGAGTGCAGAGTGCTGAACAGACGTTTCAGTTCCTCTATTTCAGAGGAAAGACCGAATCACTACCCGAGTCCCCGAGGACGAGACAGAAACAGAGAGAGAGAGAGGCTTATAGAACAGAGAGGTCCTGACATCACAGATCTGTACTTTATTAAACCTTAGATTCAGCTGTGGTCATTTGACCGTACAGTATGTTGACATGAAGCTCTGGATCCATGGATCAGGTTTCTCCTGACAGTGAGATCTCCGTCTGACTCACAAAATCTGATCTTTAAAGTGAGAATTACATTATGAGTAATCTCTACCTGCGTGTGATCTCTCGGGGTCTGGATTTTCAGTAGGTAACGTGTTCTGGTTTCAGTTTAAAGGACATTTGTCGGCCGAGCTGTATTGACCAATCAGGAGTCAGCATGCTTTACTGAATCAGGACAGTAAAAAAACAGATGCTAATGACACACCAGCTCCCAAAGTTTGCACCCTACCCCTAAAAAACATAATTTCTAATCCAACAACTCAAACACAAGAACTTTGAATACAGAAACAAATCAGGATCACCTGAGTCAAAACACTAAAGAACTCACCGAGAGCAACAGTGTGATGTCATCAAGATTCAGCACAGGAGAACAAGACGAGGATGTCGACTCTCTCTCTCTACTCTACATGGAACCACTCGCTGCAGCAGTCAACATAACACACAAGATAACTCTTTATGCTGACGACATCATACTTTACCTACAGACTCCACAAACCTCACTTCAAGAAACAATGAATCAAAAACATTCCAAAATCTGAAACTATTCAATAAACTGGACTAAGCCGACACTACTCCAATCTCTGTAAAGAGCAGCCCTACCACCACCCATTCCCTCCACCACTGATACTATAAGATAACACTTCAAACACCAAAACATACCAGACGACTGGATGCACCAACTACTTCCTGTTACAAATCATAACCAGATGGATACACCCCACAGAACAATCCAGGCCATGGCTACACATAGAACAGCAACAAGGAAAATATATACTCATATCAATCCTACCATTTATCAAAATCATATCATCGCTACAGCCCTAACAGAGTGGTGGAAAACTCACAAAGTAATGATCACAACACCCACACCCTGTAAGAACACACCAACATGGAACAACCCAGACGTTCATCAAAACCACAAAACACTGAATCTCACCGATGGGAAGGACCAAGACATCCCCCAGCTTCACCACATCATTCAAGACTTAACCTTCATCCCCTTCAAAGAATTAACTCAAAAGTACAATATAAGAATAAATCTCACTTCCAATATCTTCAAATCCAATCAAACACAGAAGTTTAACCTCAAACAAGACGACAGCGACAAATCACCACGAGCAGACACAAACCTCAAACTCTTAAACACACAGCCAAAAGATTTATCCACAACAACAGACCATGAAACCTGGAATATAATCTGCAACAACACCTTCTCAGTGACAAACAGAAACTCCAACTGATTCAGTATAAGATTAACCACAGAACTCACACTTCAGGGTTTCACTTTACCGCTCCAATAACTGTTCATTAAGCCCAGCCCCCCTAACAACCTTGGATGACTTCTGCCCATCCCCCATTCAGACATTCTGGACACAAGTCACAAATAAACTGCCCGGTTCCACTCCCCCATCACTACGCATTCTCGGTAACACATTTTCAATCACACCTCCCAACGACCAAAAAAACACAAACTACTCATCGCGCTCACTGTCGCCAAGAAAACAATCTTCCTCAACTGGAAACAAACAGCTCAGTATGGATGAACACGTTACCATGGAAACACTTAAACATCCACTTCTGGACATGAGGCATGCAACAGAACCGCTATGCTACCCAGCGCCCCGGGTCACTGACCATCTTAGAGTTCCCTGTTCAGTTTAAGACCGCCTGATAAAAATATAAATACATTTCTAAACAACAACATGAACTTTCAGAGAACACATTTACTGAAAAGTGGAGCAGCAGAAGACGGAGAGGATGGACTTCTCTCATCATGTAGACAGACTAGAGGAACATGGGGAAGAGGATTTAATATGTGACCTTTAAAGTGAGAAAATCACAAGATATGAAACAGAGTGAGAGTGAAGCTGTGGTTTAATTTATTTTGTTGAACTGAGACTCAGATGAACGTTTAAGTTGTAGACATTAACGCCACTCAGAAAAGGAACTCCTGCCTGGAAGTCGTTCAACGCTAACCGCTGACTTCACTGGAAAGAGGAATGAGAAATTCACAGATTCTCAGACTGTGCTGTGATGACCTGAATGAAAGTTTGCACCAGAGGAAACATCAGAGCAAGAATACAGACGGAGACCGGACAGTCCTGAAAAACTTTAAAACTTTAATCACAACAGGAAGTAAGACGGAGATGAGCAGCATCATCAAAACACAAACCTGAGAGACTCTGATGGAGCACATAAAACCTGAGGATGACATCATCACACAGACCATGACATCATCACACAGACCATGACATCATTACACAGACCATGACATCTTCACACAGTCCATGACATCATCACACAGACCATGACATCATCACACAGACCATGACATCATCACACAGACCATGACATCATTACACAGACCATGACATCATCAAACTGACCATGACATCATCAAACTGACCATGACATCATCAAACAGACCATGACATCTTCACACAGTCCATGACATCATCACACAGTCCATGACATCATCACACAGACTGATTAGAGATTTGAAATATAAAAAAGAGTTTATAAAATCATTAAACTCTGAAGGTATAAAACACATTTCACTCAGTTCTTCTTTTTCATGAATAGAAACTGCAGGTTAAAAATGTGACTGAAGAGTCTTTATAAAAGCTTCGGTACGTGTTCATACCATCAGCAGCGCCTTTCTGAAAAGTGGAAAGATTTTCAAATTCAGCGCTCGGAGCGACCGCAAAAACAAGGCAGAGCGAAATAAACGCTGGGCGATGAGCTTTATCTCCAGACGGCGTTCTGCTGCCAACGCTCTCTACTCACTAAAACTGAAGAAAAGACGCCATGTGGACACGTGGTCAACAACCTTAACGTAAAGTTCAAACAAACATGTGTAAGACAAACTTTAAAACACTGATCACAAAACGTGTTGGCAGCTTTTTGGTTCAGGGAAGAAGAACGAGCTTCAGTTTGGACGTCACAGAAAAATCATCGGGGGAGATTGTTCATTTGAAGCACACACACACACACACACACACAACACACACACACACACACACACACACACACCACACACACACACACACACACAACACACACACACACACACACACACACACACACACACACACACACACACACACACACACACACACACACACCCCTTATGGTCTGAACAGCAGGGGGTACATCTTGACGAAGGTGAAGTTGAAGGAGGGGGGCAGACCCTGGTGACTGATGCTGCTGAAGTTCCCCACCCAGGTAAACGGAGGAAGTCCTCCCTGAGTGGTCGGCCCGTTCAACGCCTCGGCGCTGAACATCTCCGCCATGTTGAAATCTGTCACCTGCAACAACACGGCACAAACACGCTCTTAAAGCTACAGAACGTCACGTTATTTCACTTCAATCCCACCTTCATCACCAATCAGCCATCACAGCCACTGAGGGGAGAATGTTTTGGTTGCTTGCAACAGCAAAGTTTCAGCATCTTCTCGCTGCTGCGTGTTGATTTTCCATTATTATTATTTTTTTATTTTCCTGTTTGGTCGTAACAGGTGGCGAGCCACGCGGTGATGCAGCATGACCATCATCATGACTATTCCCGATGCATTGTGGGATACAGTTAAGACAATAGTGCACTACAGTGAGGTGTGTTTTCAGACGCAACCCTGAAGACATCTTTAACTGTCATCACCATGGTTACGGTCACTACCTTAGTGTCATAGCAACCAGACGGAGAAGCCTTCTCTGTCCTCAGGTCTCCCCGACAGCAGATGGTCTTACAAGGGTCCCCCTTAGAGTACGGATCCTTCTTGTAGTCTGAAAACAAACAAACAAACAAACAAACAAACAAACGTCTCATTAAAGATGCAGACTGAGGTCAACATTCAGCCCCTAAACATCTTCGTTCTCCCTCTCTCTCTCTCTCTCTCTCTTTCTCTCTCTCTCTCTCTCTCTCTCTCTCTTTCTCTCTCTGTATCTCTGTGTCCCTCTCTCTCTCTCTCTCTGTCCTCTCTCTCCCTCTCTCTCTCTCTCTCTCTCTCTCTCTCTCTCTCTCTCTCTCTG